AGTGACATTAGACTTCACTTAGACTGAGTTAAGCAAGAGTCTTGTGACAAATTATAATAGGACATTATAGCCATAAAAAAAATCAAAGTACTTGGATACTTAAGTACATTTGAAGGCAAATACTTTTGTACTTTTACTCAAGTGAATGTTTAAAGGCAGCACTTCTACTTTTACTTGAGTAATATTTTACCTTGAGTATCTTTACTTTACATGGTATGCGTACTTCGTCCACCACTGCTGAAGTTTATAACAAACCAAACTGTTTGAAAATCAGTAGTAAATTGAGCAAGTTATGGTTATTTAAAAAGTACATGCACCATTAAAACACAATGTTACGAGTGAGCGAGCTGACTGTGGCAAGATGGCCGCCAGGTGCGGATGTCAACCTCCATTGGCCAGCAGTGCGGACGAGACATCTAGGCTTTATTATATCTATGGTTCTAACTATGTTCTGTGTATTCAGTTACTGTCACCCGTGAAATGTATTAGTTCAGAAATCCACCAGTACCACTGGAATTAAAAACATTATTACAGGCTTACCGTTTTGAATCGAGCTAAGGCAAGCAGAGAGGTTTGAACACTGGCTGGTTATGTATTTGCTCAAATTTATTTTGGATAATTTTTAACCCAAAAAAGCTACGGACTGGAGCTTTAAACAGAGGTAAGACTCACCCTATTTAGGTTGGTCGAGCAACATTTTGCTGTCCTAAACGGAAATAACCTTTTTGTCTTTACAAACCAGGTACACTTGGATTAGTGTCAAACATTAGCCTGAACGCTAATATCGCAGTTGGTGTGCTCTATATATGCTCCACTCACAACTGGACTCTAGTCTGTCACTAATCTGACGCAGATTTGTGGGAACATACACATTCACTTAATCTACTTGGGAAAATGATTTTAGAGTAAGTCAGAATAAATCCAAATGTAACAATTTATTATGTCAGGTTAATGTATCATGCCAATTATAATCACTTCAAAGACAATAAATACAAAACATCAAATGCTTTGGAATAAAGAGAAAAGATGCAAACCTGACATTAGAAAAATACATAATGCTGAAATGTCTGAAGACATCGAGCATTACAGGCTGATTTACAAACTGATCGCCCGAATCTCTTGTGGCATTTCTTTATGTACTCAGACCAGGGCAGAAACTTGTTTAACATGGAAACATGAAACAATGGGGATTTGCATTCAGAGTTTACAGCTTTTGAGGGCAGGATGCCATAAGCCCGGAAAACACACTCTCCTCTGTGTGCAGGATATCTCTAAACTCATAACAACTTTATTACCTTCTGGTTTAGTTCTTTGGGAATGACACCTTTGTACCAGTCACACTGAGACATTTCAAATGAGACCAAACATGTATTGCGTTGTATAATTGTTCACATTAAACCATATAGATTTTTGGGTGAATTCCAGGTGATCTTCTTAGCATGAGAGGGAGATGAGATGGGGAAGGGAAAGAAATGTAAATTAATACAATAGTGAGTGTCTCTTTCTCAAGAGAGAGTTCAAATGTTAATTTCCTTTTTACTCCTTTTCTCAGAGAGTAGCCCTCTCTTCCAGTTCTTCCAGTCTTCAGGGACTTTTACCTTCTGTAAAAAGGTCCGGAAAAATGACCTCAGGTAATACTAATCCCGTGCGAATAGACAGGCTGTAAATATTCCCTTATTTCCTGTTTAAAAGTAGTTTTCCGCGTTTTTTCAAGTATGGAGACGCTTGAAAAAAGCATTCAGTTGTGTTCTACACGCTGGGACGAGTCTGTGGCAAAACTGAAGTGTTTCCCACACACACACACACACACACACACACACACACACACACACAGCATTCAGATCAGAAAGAAGATCGAAAGCACTTGTTAGAGGAACATAACTTTTAGCATTAGGTAAGTGCCAAAATAATCCAATCTGAATTTAATGAATACATCAATCGTCTGGACTTAACGGTTTTATATATTAATATAAATATACATACTTTGATATAATTTTATATGCATTTTTGCTTTTCCTGTTTATTATTTAGAGTGATGTTTATTTCTGTTCAACTTTATTTCTCAATGTTTATAAATCCACCCACAATTCATACAGTACAACACATGTAATTGAGGTAAACGAAGGACAAAAGTCATTGAAAACATTTAAAAATCAAGTAAAATATATATATTTGTAAATGCTTCAGGACTAAAAACTTTTTACAAAACAAATTTGGTAAACTGATCCAAATCTTTTTTTTTTTTTTTTAGGGATTATTTGGATGAGATGTTGGGTGCCAACATCATGAATTAACTGTTTAACTGCATTTAACCTGCACCTTTAATGGAAACATGCATATGGTTTATTACTGCAACACAATCAGTAAAATGTTTCTATTTTCAGAATTAGGTTGTTTTATTTGAGCAAAATCTAGCTAGTTCATGAATATTTTTGTGGTTGATTAGGGCTTACACAAATAAAGAGGTTGGGAACCACTGATTTAGAGCATACAGAGCATAAACAATTGTTCTCTATTGCAAGGTTAATCATTTTCTAAATTAGCAAAGCCTTTAAGCACTGTCCCAATTACCCAAAATCATGCTGTCAAAATAAAAACAATCTATTCTGAAAATAAAAACATGATGTTAACAAATTTTGCATGCATCATATTCGTGTTTCCATCAAAAGTTTCTACAATATAGTAGCTACGACAATTTTAGGACCTTATTATAAAATCAGCAAAAGCTAATGTCATTTTCCTCAGTTCATGTATTTCAGAGTCAACTTCCTGTTTGATGCCACGCCCACCTACAGGATGTCACACCAAGGCTGCGTTCCAGGCCACTTTTAGACACGCACTTGCGAACTTCCCTAAGCACTTCCCCTCGGGGGAATCCCTGCCGCCATTTTGAAGTGCGTTCCACTTCGTGAAGTGGACAAGGGAAGTTTATATGGACAGACACTTGTTCCCTCGATTTTGTCCGAGGGAGCGAGTCTACTTCATATGTACACTTCAGGCAGCTCCATATACCACAATGCAACATGATTGTGACGTCACCGCAGATCTCGTCTAATCACCACCACCACAAACAACTCTGATATATTAATTATATAAATTTAATTTAAAACAACCCAAACACACCTATATACATTTGGATGCCGCATTAAACAAATTCTTAAAGGAAAAAAAATATGTAAATAATAAATCAACTCCATAGCTGATTCCAAGTGATCAAGGGCTTAGGAGGTTCCAATTCAGCCAATACAGTTTCCGCCAGTAGTGGGCACTCGTGCAACGTAAGCAATGACGTACATCCGAGTGAACAAGACGGAGGGAAGTTAGCAAGTGAAGGGCATGACAATTTTGGACTGGAACGCATCCTAATAAGGGCATCTCATTTTGAGTATGTGGTCTCACAGCTAGGGCTCAGCAAAAAAAGTTTTTATTTTCACTCATTAGGTGAGAAAATAAACTCAAAATTCACCCTAAATGATATGCGGCACTTGAACTTGGACCATTGTGCGGCCCAGTGGAAAAAAAGGTTGAGAACCGCTACTCTACATGATCCCAGCCGAGGAATAAGAGTCTTATCTAGACAAACCATCGGTCATTTTCTTAAAAAAAAAAAACATTTATATACTTTTTAACCACTAATGTTCGTCTTGCACTAGCCGTGATGCGCCACGCATGATGTAATCACGTTGAAAGGTCAAGCATGACGTAGGCAGAAGTACAGAGCTAGTGTTTACAAAGCGAACGTGCAAAGATTAAGTCAAACGCTATTTACAAAAAAAAAAAAAAAGGTAAAACAATGATGTCGGACGATTTTGAAGTTGGAGGAGAAAATGAGATGGAGTTTTTCGCCCTTTCCTACATTTCTGAACCGGAACACGCGTGACCTTTCAACACGATTACGTAATGAGTGGCGCATAACAGCTAGTGCAAGATGAGCATTTGTGGTTAAAAAGTATATAAATGTTATTTTTTTTATAAAATGGCGGATGGTTTGTCTAGATAAGACTCTTATTCCTCGGCTGGGATCGTGTCGAGACTTTCGTGAAACTGACATTTGAACCTTCAACCCGTTGGACCCCATTGAAGTCACTATATGGAGAAAAATCCTGGAATGTTTTCCTTAAAAAAACTTTTTTTAGACTGAAGAAATAACATCTTGGATGATGTGGGGGGTGAGTTAAATTATCAGGAAATTTTCATTCTGAAGTGAACTACTCCTTTAAAGGGTTAGTTCACCCCAAAATGAAAACTCTGTCAGTAATTACTCACCCTGATGTTGTTCCAACCCCGTAAGACTTTCGTTCATCTTCAGAACACAAATTAAGATATTTTTGATTAAATCTGAGAGCTGGATCACTCCTCCATAGGCTTCTAAGGGATCGAAACTGGCCGGCCCAGAAAAGTTATTAAAGACATCATTAAAATAGTCCAAGTGACTACAGTGGCTCAACCTTAAGTTTATCAAGCGACGAGAATACTTTTTGTGCGAAAAAAAAAAATAAAAAAAATAACGACTTTATTCAACTGCTCATTTCCTTCTCTGTGGGCCTCGAGTGAGTTCAAGTAGTGTAACAGCGCAGCGCTTCTGGGTTGTACGTCACACGCAGGCTCACTATTGGCCAGCATCACAAACATGACCAGTGTCGGCTAATAGTGAGCCTACGTGTGACGTACAACCCAGAAGCGCTGCGCTGTTACACTACGTGAACTCACTCAAGGCCCACAGAGAAGAAGATGAAGAGTTGAATAAAGTCGTTATTTTTGTTTGTTTTTTGCGCACAAAAAGTATTCTCGTCGCTTGATAAACTTCAGGTTGAGCCACTGTAGTCACTTGGACTATTTTAACGATGTCTTTAACTTTTCTGGGCCAGCAAGTTATAATCCCTTAGAAGCCTATGGAGGAGTGATCCAGCTCTCAGATTTAATCAAAAATATCTTAATTTGTGTCTCGAAGATGAACGAAAGTTTTACGGGGTCGGAACAACATGAGGGAGAGTAATTACTGATAGAGTTTTCATTTTGGGGTGAACTATCCCTTTAAGCCTCGTCTGTGAACCCGGGAGTTAGAATCACATGAAGAAAATACACATATTTACGGAGATATGCACCAATGGATCAGATATCATTGCAGTAGCAGTCGGGGTTGGCTGACCACCAGTTGTGTCATTGCTCATTGTCCGAAGTTAAAGAGCGTCTTTCCAGCAATCTCTGGGCGTCTTCTTTAGCACTGGCATCCAAGATGGCCACTCGCTCTTCTTTATAAATCATTTCACGTTCACGCTTCAGCTCGTGATATGAACGAGAAAACACGTGGAAGATGGATGTAGCTGGAAAAGCCATTATGAGAATACCACTCAGTATGCTACTAAAGGCCACGACCTGGCCAGGGATACTGTGCGGGACCATGTCACCGTAGCCGACTGTCGTCATTGATATAATAGCCCACCAATAGGAAGAAGGAATGCTGCTAAAGCTGTGAGGGCCAGTGGCTTTTCCCTTAGCGAACTCCTTCTCTGCCAAGTGAACGAGAGGTGAGAATAAAGCCACAGCTACGCAGAGGAAGAGAAGCAAGAGTCCAAACTCTCGAATGCTTCGCTGCATTGTAACTCCCAGCGTCTGAAGACCCAGCGAGTGTCGAGCCAGTCGCATCACATACAGGATCCGCAGGGCTCGCATGACCCGCAGAATCAAACCCAGCTTATCTAAATATCCACGACTTGCACCATGAAGCTCGGCTTCTTCAGATTCGTCTTCGCTATCCACAACCAGAGAGATGTAGTACGGTAGGATGGCTATGACATCTATGATATTCAGTGGGTTTCGGACAAACTGCAGTTTGCGCTGAGCCTGAAGCAAACGCAACAGAAACTCCATGGAGAACCAGGCCACACACACCGTTTCCACGATGAATATGTTGCGACACTTTTCTGAGCATTCGCCCTATAGAACAATAAGCAGAAATCAGATTAATGTTTCAATTTTAAAGGGGTAGTTCACTTTGAAATTAATTTTTGATATGTTTTAGCTTACCTCAAGGGCATCCAAGATGTAGGTGTCTTTGTTTCCGCAGAAGTTTCAATTTTGATATTTTTAGGTCAAACCGTTCTTGTCTGTCAGTCATATAATGCAGGTCTATGGTCACCACCTCAAAGAGCATGCACAGAGAAGTCCAAATTAAACATGATTTAATGACTCGTAAATGTAAGTACACATTGATGGCCTAAGATACGAAACGAGCGGTTTGTGTGAGAAAACGAACAGTATTTATATCGGTTTTACCTCTTGTAAACACAGTCACGTCCAAGTGATCTGAGGGCGCGGGCGCTTCGGTCTGCGCAAGCGCCGGAAAGCGCTGGAAGTGATCTCTCGCGCGTGTACGTCACTCATTGTTTACACAGAGATTTCGGAACTGTTACCTTTCACTGTGAAGATCTAAACATATTTAGATATACAGGAAATCGCAATGGAAGACGATTTCGACATATCAACAGACAACGTTGAATTTTTTAATTTTTTTTGGAAGAGATCACTTCCGGCGCTTTCCGGCCCTTGCGCAGTCCGAAGCGCCCGCGCTCTCAGGTCACTTGGACGGGGCTGTGGTTACAAGAGGTAAAAACGATATCAATACTGTTCGTTTTTTCACACAAACCGCTCGTTTCGTGTCTTAGGCCATCAATGTGTACTTACATTTACGAGTCATTAAATCATGTTTAATTTGGACTTCTCTGTGCATGCTCTTTGAGGTGGTGACCATAGACCTGCATTATATGACTGACAGACAAGAACGGTTTGACCTAAAAATATCAAAATTGAAACTACTGCGGAAACAAAGACACCTACATCTTGGATGCCCTTGAGGTAAGCTAAAACATACCAAAAATTTATTTCAAAGTGAACTATCCCTTTAACATATTACTAAAGCATGCATGGTCTACAAAATTTGTGACGAAATTGTAACAATGTACTTCATTAAAGGAATCATGCAATGAAAGACTGCACTGATTATGTTGCGCTTACCAATATGCATTTTTACAGACACCCCTGGGATGTGACGATGAGGATATTTTCCCACCGCTTAATCGACGTGTTAGCCTGACTACGTCAGACTTCGTACTTCCGCTCAATTTCAGTTCGCTTCTGTACTCAGTCTGAGATAGCGACCTATCTCTCAGTTTTCCTCCGGCCTGAAAACAGCCGGCCAATCAACGAACAGAGGGCGGGCTGAGAGCCATGACGTAGACGCTAAGCGCCGAGTTTAAGATTGTATTTTAGGTTAGGGAAATCGAAAACGACTGCGGATATGGAGACACGGGATGCAATTAGCTCTGTTGTGGAGAATATTCCCGGCATTTGCAAACTGAAGCCCGAACAAGAAGAGTGTTTGTTAAACATTTTGAATGGAGGTGATGTTGTGGCCCTACTCCCGACAGGTTTTGGGAAAAGTTTAATTTATCAACTATTACCGATCGTCAGCGAGAAACTGGGCCGGGAAAATGCCGGCAAGGCGATAGTTGTGATTGTGTCCCCCTTGGTTGCACTCATGGAGGATCAGGTTAAGGAGGCAGCAAAACTCGGTCAGCCATGTTCACTCCGGTATTTCGCTTGATGGTTTCGTTTTCGCGTCATAAAATGTGTTTATAGTGGAAGTTCGGTGCGGCTGAGCTGGCGAATAACACACGTCATAACCAAATGTTATGTGATTGGCTTACGGGTAACCAATGATTTTATACTTCAGACAAGCGGAACAGAGCGAGAACTTTTCCATAGGAATAAACTGAAAACGTTCGCTCTGTTCTGCTCGCTCCGCTCCGGTTGACATGTGTGGCCGTGCACATTTTAGTTTCGTTTTCAAATTAGCGCCAATTCGGGACGGATTACTTGAATGGTTAGTTCATTAGCCTATTATTCTTAATGAAAAACCCAACAACAAAATAGGCTTTTACATTTCGCTTTGACACCAAATATTCCGCAGTCACCTTGTCAGTCCGCCTTTTAAAGTTTAACCTTTCATTAAAGTTATACAAGAATTTTCAACAATAATACATTTGGACAATGTCTGTAATGGAAATTTTACATTTAGATGTGTTTTTACTTTTTAGATGTGTTCTTTTATCTTTTAGATGTGTGCAACTTTTGATTAACGTTGAAGATTTATGTACTCATAAGCATTTAAAGGAAGATGTTTATAGACATTAAAGGACATTATTAAAGATATAACCAAGCTGTTAGAAATGAATAAGTTAAGATAAGCTTTCTGGAACAAAATGTTTCTGGGTTACAGAAGACCAAGTAGCCAGTGACCTATTATATACTTTAAGTGTGAAATGTATGTGTGTAGCTTTTGATCAAACAAGAGATAGGCAAAATGTGTGAATTTGAACAGCAGCTAAAAACAGGAAACCTTAACGAAGATGTCATTGTTCTGTCTAGACAAATTTATGTCCAACAAGAGATCTTGAACAAACACGTTTCCTTTTAAGGCAACAAAGGCAATCTTCTGAAAAGATGCACCCTACACATGATGTGTTAGTTAGGGTATATAACTTGGCGAAAAGGACCAGCCTCTTCGCCTTCTCATATAGATGCTGTCTGTATGTGAATGCCAATTCAATTTTACTTCTTGCAAGAAATAAACATTTGATACTTTGACTTTTCAAAGGTTTCCACTTGTCTCCTTCCTCCTAACTTTTCGAATAGAATTATTTCCACGACATGTCTTAGGACAACTTTGATTAACTTTTTTGATCCACTTGAAATGTTACTACTGTGGATAAAACCCAAACGCTATAAAAAGAGGGATGTGGCGCACTAACCCTGTCCTCGGGATCAGGAATGGTGCTGATACACAAGCTGATGACGGTCACGGCGATCATGACGACTGAGAAGCATGCAAAGATCTTCCCAGGCCAGCCGGAATGAGGGTTTTCCACGATCTCCTGCAACCGGTTCATGAGCCCGACATAGCCCGTCCCTCGAGCTAACGGCCTCTGAAGAGCGAGTCTCCTCTGCCTCCTCTCGTCCTCCTTCTTCTTCTTCTCTCCCACTTCTTCCACACAGGACAGCATCTTGCGTCGGCAGCAGCGCTCCATGTGAGCCGGGTCGATGCCCCAATAGCTGAGTTCATCAGAGAGTGACACGGCGCACACCTGTCGAAGAAGCCTCAGTTTCCCTGCGGCGAGGAAGTTAAAGATGATCCTGAAGGCCACCGAGCTGCGGTCGAAGAACAGCTCTCGCCGGGTCTCGTCGTAGTCGTCGCAGAGCTGGGCGATTTCATCTGGGCTCCTGCACTGACGGAGCTGTCCCAGCCGAGACAGCGGGAACTCGTCCAGCGTGCTCCAGGGAAACGTGTAGCGATCCCCTCCCACGTTGATGAGCGCTAGTTTGCTGTGGTCCACGTCTCTGGAGACGCTGTGGAGTCGCTGGGCGCGTTGGAAATACACACCTTTGATGGTTTCCGTCTCTGGGATTTCTGTGGAGAACAGGTCGAGGCTGCTGTCGTCTGTGCTGACGGAGAGATTGCTGAAGTCATGGTTGGCATCGCTGATGATTGGCATGGTGGTGTTTGGGCATGGCAGTGATTTTCAGTGTAGTATGTGTAGCTTAAGCACTGGAGCACTGCAAACAAAAAGAGTATTATTTTATTGTATTACATATATAATACAGGAGTATTACCTCTGATATGATTGTTAAGCGCTTTGGGTGTGCAGTAGTACATATGAAAGCGCTATATAAATGCCTCATTATTGCAACATTAGCATCAACAATATCAACATGGAGCTTGATATGGATGTCTATTGCAAATATTCATGTTGATGTGAAAGTAAACTGACTTATATTAATTAGAATTTTGAAGAGGATTGTTCACCCAAAAATGAATTCTGTCATAATTTACTCACAATCATGTCGTTCCAAACACATACAACTGGTTCGAAACACAAATTAAGATATTTTTTAAATGAAATCTGAGAGGTTTTTTTTTTATTATAAATGTATGTAGTAAGCACTGCAAACAAAAAGAGTATTATTTTATTGCAACATTAGCATCAACAATATCAACATGCAGGAAACATTGTTTCAATTCAAATTAATGTCCATGGCAAAATATTCATGATGTGAATAGGTCTTAAAAAGTAAATTAACTTGGTTACACTTTACAATAAGGTTCATTATAGTTAATATAGTTAATTACATTAGTTAACATGAACTAAGAATGAACAATACTTACAGCATTTATTAATCTTAGATCATATTAATGTCAACATTTACTAATACATTATTCAAATCAAAGGTTGTATTTGTTAACATTAGTTAATGCACTGTGAACTAACATGAACAAACAATGAACAGCTGGGTTTTTATTAACTAACATTAACAAAGATGAATAAATACTGTAACAAATGTATTGCTCATTGTTAGTTCATGTTAGTTAATACATTACCTAATGAACCTTATTAAAGTGTTACCACTAACTTATATTAGTTAGAATTTTAAAGGGATAGTTCAAACTTTCTTTTAACCAATTAACAGTTTTTCACCATAACATACAGTATTTTACCGTTAAAATCACGATCATTTTTACCATGTAGAGCAGTGATAAGTGACTGAGTCTTCCCATTAATGCAATCATATGCTGCGTCCCAATTCGCATACTATCCCTCCTAAATAGTATTCGAAAATAGAATAAGTACGTCCCAAATCGTAGTATGTTGAAATGAGTGTCCCAAAGAGACCCGGATGGTCTACTATATCCGGTCAGAATCCGAAGTGCAGATCGATGCACACTCTAACGGCTGATATTGCCCACAACCCATCGCGCATTGGACGAGGATTCAGTAAGAACTACAAACACAAGTGAAAAGTGTTCAAAAACTACAAACATGGAGGACGCGCGAGTCCGGCGGTTGTGTAGAGAGGTTTAGATAAAGGGGTTTGAGTGATTAATTGTCAGTATCTAACCTGACGAAAATGTATTTATTCAATGTTGTCCACATTATATTGCATCTTCAGCATTGTGAACTTTTGCAAAGATACGTTTAGCCATTAACTTTTAAATGCATTATTATATTCAAATTCCAAACAGACGAGGAGAGTCTCGGCATGAAAGACCCACGACTGGCAGATGAACGTGCGACAACAATTCTCTCCGAAATGGTAAGAAGTTATATTAGACTGAACTGTGACGAGATGATTGACAGGGCAGTTTACGGTGACAGATGCACGCGACAGATCTGTCCGTTAAAGATGACGAAGTAGTATGTTCCAAAGCTTGCCTACTCTTTTGCTACGTAAAGTTTGTACTTTTTCTTCACAAAAAGAGTTCATACTTTTAGGGCGTAGTATAAGTAGGCGAATTGGGACGCAGCATTAGTTTTCATTCGGCCGATTCGAGAACGTACACGAAAAACAAGAGGCGCACGAACCAATCATATCCACAGCTTCACTACTTCCTGAACTTCAGCCAGCCCTTTGTTTCCTGTCTGTCATTATTGGACAAACTGATTAATCCAGGTGTGCCTGGCCTCAGTAACATTGATCAGGCACACCTGGATTAATCAGTTTGTCCAATAATGACAGACAGGAAACAAAGGGCTGGCTGAAGTTCAGGAAGTAGTGAAGCTGTGCATAAAGCCTATTTATGCAATCATAGCGCGATGGAGGCGTGTCCTCCTGTCACGTGACTTTCCCCCATTCATCTCAATCAGATCTCAATCACCCCCCACTAACCCCACCGCACGCTTTACCTGTAGTGTTGCTTTAGAAAACAAAACAGCGATTTATACACTTTTTAATGTCATATTTTATCATATTTGCATTGTTTTACCTTTGCAATATGGATTATTTTCTCATCCTTATTTATTATTATGGTAACACTTTACAATAAGGTTCGTTTACATTAATTAACTACATTAGTTAACATGAACTAATAGGCCTAATGAAATACACTTAGGCTATACAGCATTTATTAATCTATGTTCATGTTAATTTCAACATTTACTGTATTAAAATCTTGTTAACATTAGTTAATGCACTGTGAACTAACATGAACTGACAGGGTCATTCTACAGAAACGTCCACTTTTGGTATGGCAAGATGTCTTAAAATGTATTTCTTTTTCTAACATTTAAACTTACACCACATTATTAGATTACCATTTGACTTTATGAATATGCATAAATGACAGCTTTTTTTATATTTTTTGTGCATTTATTTAAAGATCGCATGTACCATTTTTTTTGTCACTGGTGTTACCTTACTTCTTTGGCAATATTAAATATTTTTATGAAATATTATTTCAATTTTTTTTCAGCACATGTAGTCAGAGTTACCAAAAAATAATAATAATGCAACAAATAAGGAGAGGGTTCTCAAGTCTCACGCATTGGCCGTGAGACACGCAATTCAGCCAGTTCACACGCTCACACGCCACACCATGTATTTCTCACGTTGAAAAGGCAATGCCAACCAAGTTGTCCTGCAAGCTTTATATAACGTTGTATACGAGGCGCAGGCACACAAAGTGAAGTTTCCTGCCGCCAGCGCGTCCGTATCTCGGCCAGATTGCGTTCGTTACTAGGCAATATAGATGCGCGAACATACGGAAGTTGACGGAACATTTCTCGGCCACCGCGACATCGCGCGAACACACGCACACACATTCTCGGCCACCGTAGCCTACACTAGGTAACCAACAATATCGCGCGAACACACGTCGTGATCATAGGTCGTGATGGAGAAGTTGGAAGAAAGCTCGTCTAACATTTTTAGGCTAGAACATTTTATATATTGCCCATCGTATACATTATTATTGATGCAGTCAAAAACTCTACAACTACTTTGCAACCAGGCCAGAAGCTTTGGCTAAGGGACATGTTAGTGGCTATGGGAAGGAATGAAGATGTATTTCTAAATTTTATTTTAAATGATATATTATACTGTAGGCCTATTAGTCTTTCTAGTTACATTAAGGCTAGAGCCTACATGTATTAAAGCAGAGTGCTCTAGTGCTCTGGGTAATATTTTATATCCTGTCAAAACATACATTAATCATTGCCATTGCATTTGTATTTTTCAAAGATGTCAGGGAAAAATGCAAAAAGATTTGTTTTTTCAAACTGTTTGGAGCAATTTGTTATATTTGTGTAATTTTGAAATATAACATTAAAGAGTATATTTGATGTGATGAATTGCTCTGTCATTTATCAGATTTACCAATTGTTATAATTTCAATTTGTGCTGGTTTATTATGAACAATGGGTAAAATTGGGGGGCGGGGCTCCACTGGGGCTCCTCCCATAACCGCATGTGATCTCACTCCAAGCTTTTGATAAAACTTGAGAACCCTGAGATTATGTTTTATTTATTTTAATCAGGTTTGTTAAAAGTGTGCTTGAATGAGATTAGTTCATTTGCGCAACCTTGTATTTGCTATAACAATGAAAATATTTCAAAACCAGTTAAAATCAAGTAATGATGCAATCCTTTAAATCTTAACTTTTGAGTGTAGCAGAATTAAATGGATGTAAAATTATTATCATGTCACATATGGCATTGTATTTAATGTGACAGAAAAAAAGACGGTAACACCAGTGACACATTGAATCAGCAATGACATGCATAAAACCAAATATCATTATTCTTCAACTATAATTAAGTAGATGAGACTAAATTGTTACATTTGGCATATAATCTAAATGAATAGCTTTGAGTAAAGTTTATCTATAAATGGGAGTCACTGGTGTTACTGGTGTTACCCATAAGAAAGGTGAAACCAGTGACAGTAACACCAGTGACAATTTTCATGAAAAATTCATTTTACAAAATGGCTGCTGCAAGGTATCAAACCACATGTTGGCAATCATGGTATACTAACTAAATTAAGTAGTTTAATCCATTTGTATTCTCATTTTTTTACAATTACCTATCAATAAATTAGGTCATACCAGTGACTTCAACTAAAAGCTTCATATGAAATCATGAGATAAATGAGAATATTTCTGATAACTGAAAAGAGACAGAGGATTTATTATGGGCGTTTCTTCATAGAAATGGGCTCTATGCACGGGGGTATTTCCGGTGAAGGTCTAAGGATGCTGGATTACTTCCGCCGATCGTAGAGTCCAATGCTATACCGAGAATTTATATTGGTTTTTATACTCTATTGCTATACTAAAGAAACATTAGTCACAAAAACAGACAAAACAGACACCCCTCATTTTGTTAATGCTTCTTTGTTTATTATATTAAATAAACATAACTATATATAAAATTACATCTAAACGTATTAAAGTTTCGTTTCAAAGAGGAGAGGACAGTACATTTTAAAGACTCTGCTATAATCCCGTTTTCCTCGGTTTTCCTCCGCTTTAAATCTCCCCAACCGGAAACGCAAGAGCATCCTTGCATCAAACGCGGAAGTTATGCGTGCATATAGCCCATTCAGGAAATTGGAAGAAGGAAGTCAAGTGATGTCATCAGTGTGATTTTTATTTCAAAATAAGAGATTTTTGTTTAACGGTAACACCAGTGACACAACTCCAGGGGACCAGTACTTTCATTATA